GCAGCCATCTAGGGAGTGAACCAGCAGATGGAAGATCTCTCTCTCTCTCTCTCTCCCTCCCTCCCTCCCACCTCTGTAATTCTGACTTTAAAATAAATATTTTTTTAAAAAAAGTGTTATTAGCCAGAACGAAAGTCAATGCAGACATAAAACATTTAAACTTTTTGTATTTATTTCTACTTTATGTAGAAGACAGAGACCTCTTTTAAAGACTTATTTATTTATTTGTAAAGCAGAGTTACAGAGAGGCAGAGGCAGAAAGCGAGAGAGAGGTATTGCATCCGCTGGTTCACTCCCCAAATGGCTGCAGGCCAGAGCTGCGCCGATCCGGAGCCAGGAGCTTCTTCCAGGTCTCCCATGCGGGTACAGGGCCCAAGGACTTGAGCCATCTTCCACTACTTTCCCAGGCCTTAGCAGAGAGCTGGATTGGAAGTGGAGCAGCCTGGACTCAAACCAGCACCCATATGGGACTCCGGCACTACAGGCAATGGCTTTACCCACTATGCCACAGTGCCAGCCCCAAACAGAGATCTTTGATCTACTGGTTCACTCCCTGAATGCCCACAACAGCCAGGGCAGAGCCAGGCTCAATCTGGGAGCTGGAACTCCATCTGTGTCTCCCACGAGGGTAGCAGGGACCCTAGGACCTCAGCCATCACCTTGCTGCCTCCCGGGGACTTGAACCCCGGCACTCCAGTATGAAACGCAGTCTCCAGCACCACACCAACACTCATCCCAGAAGACACGTCTTCAGACGACATTCACTTGTTGTATCACATGGCCAATCCACTTACCAGGATTTTCCAGCAAACTCGTTAGGCTGAATGGAAGAAGCAAACTTCTTTGCTGACTCCTTAAAATTCACTTCGAGATGCTGGATCACACCTGCCTCTAGACCTGTCACTTTGGCCCAGGATTCTATGGGAATCCCTCTTCCGGAAAGCCTGTCAGATCTTCCTGCAAGCATTTGTAAAGTGTTTTGCTTTTCCAGCCGTTAACATGCAGGTGAGCAGGTAGGTTCTAGAATTCTGAGATCCAGCAGGGGCAAAATTTCTATTTGGTTCAAAAATTGCAGGGGTATGTCCAGTGCTGTGGTCTAATAGGTTAAGCCTCTGCCTGCCATGCCAGCATCCTATATGGGTGCTGGTTTGAGTCCCGACTGCTCCTCTTCTGATCCAGCTCCCTGCTATGGCCTGGGAAAGCAGTGGAGGATGGCCCAAGTCCTTGGGCCCCTGCACCCACGTGGGAGACCGAGAAGAAGCTCCTGGCTCCTGGCTTCAGGATGGCCCAGCTCCCACTGTTGTGGCCATTTGGAGTGTGAACCAGTGGATGGAAGACCGACCTCCCTCCCTCCCTCTCTCTCCCCCTAACTCTGCCTCTCAAATAAATAAATAAATCTTTTAAAAAAATCATAGATTTCAAAGTGCTATCCATGAACTAAAATGACACACGCACTGCTTTCTCTGTTAGTGATTATACAAAAGCTTTTCATCTCCATCCATACAGGCACACCTGTCTCCACCAGTGTACACAAACACACCCATTTCCATCCATGAATACAAACACACACACATCCACTTCCATCCATGAACACACACAGACCACACACCCATCTCCATGTAGCCTGAATCCACAGCTTGCAACCTACCCTGGCATTCTACCCCCTGTACCCACAGCCTGCATCCCACAAGCTGCACCCTACCACTTAGCCCTGCTGCAGCCTGCAGCCCACTGTAGCATCGCAGCATATGCACGGCTGCTTCTGCTGTGCAAAGCTGAGGGAAGCTCAGCCTTGCCCTTAGAGGGTCAGAGGTTACCAGCTGTCAGGCTGAGGGCTCGCCAATTCTGGCTGGAGAAGAGCTGCTGTGATAGCCACGCCTGCAGGCGAACGTGGGCACCCAGGGCCAGAAGGCTCCCAGAAGGCTTGGAGTCTGGATGGGGATGGCTTGGTGCAGGACCTGGGAGCTGGAGTGTGTCTGGGGAGAGGCTTCTGCCAGCAAGGCCAGGCCAGGGCAGAGGACTGGCCAGGAGCACAGGGCCACCTGCTCACTCCCGTCCCAGTCAGTGGCCTGTGCAGCGCCACCAAGACAGGGCCTGGCCTGCAGATGGTCTGCCCACCACTTCATGGCGGGGGGCAGCATTGTGCCATGGTGGGCTGAGCTGCCGCTCGTGATGCCCACATCCCATAGAGTGCTGGTTCAAGTCCAGGCTGCTCTGTTTCTGACGAAGCTTCCCGCTGATGTACCTGGGAAGCCAGAGGAAGATGGCCCAGGCGCTTGGATCTCTGCCACCCGTGTGGGAGGCCTGGATGGAGTTCTGGCTCCTGTTTCAGCCTGCAGCAGCCACCCTTGGAGTGAACCGGCGGATATTACAATCATCATATAATCCCACAGGCTCTGCCTCTACTGAGACCCACGTTCCCACTGTCCACCCTCACGTACCTCCGGGTTCATCTCATTCTGTGACCACTTCCCTCTCAGAGACAAAATGACCCTCTTGCAATGTCCTCTGCTCTCAGTCCATGTGCCCAGACCCAGATGCCAGTGCCCAGCCCTCAGGACTCCCCCACACCCATGGCCTGCTCGTGGCCACCACACAGAGGCCCACAGGTTTAGCTCCCTTCTACAGAGAAGGGGCAGCTCCTGACAGCCCGTGCTGCGCGTAGTGTGTCCACACGCATTGGAGACACCACCTCTGCTGCCTCAGGACGCCAGCCAGTCCGACACTCTGGACAAACGACTCTTGTTTTAGCGTTCAATGCTTGTTCACTGAATTTCCTGCCAGGAGCTCAGCTGTGTGGATCAGATTGCCGTGAGCAGGGCAGAGCGCGGTCAGCAGGGGATTGAGAGCCCAGGCCCGGGGCCCCGGCAGCACCCTCGGCTGATGCAAGGAAGCAGGGCTTGCCAACTGCCCTGCTGTGTCCTGCCGGCGCCAGGTCTCAGCTCTACCAGGTGGTTCCCTGGACAGCTCGGCACACACGCCTCCTGGCCCCAGAAAATGCCAGGATCTGCTGTTTGGCTTTGGGGTCTCATCATCCCAGTAATGTCTCAGAAACAGAACAAACCTGGGTAAAGAAAGGTCAGGAACTTGTCTTGTTTTCCAAGTAGCCAAAAGAATCAATTCTGAACCAAGAGGTTCAAAAGAGCAGAACCCTGAATAAAACTGCCGCCAGAGGGGCAAGTGCTCGGCTCAGTGGCGAGGTGACACCTGTGTCCCTGCAGTGAGTCCCAGCTCCTCTGCCTCCCGCCCTGCTCCCTGCCCATGCACCTGGCAGGCAGCAGTGGTGGCCCAGCCACACGGGCCCCTGTTGCCCAGGGGAGACTCAGACATCTGGGGAGTATGCTCTGCCTCCTGCCTTTCAAGTAAGGTGAAAGGAACAGCTGGTGCTGGGAGCAGGGGGCGAGCAGGAGGTCATTCCCATGGAAGGGCAGGGCTTGGTCCACTCCTTTTCCTGAGAACCAGTCTGACTTTAGGGGTGTGTGGGGTTCTATTTCCTTCAATAAGCTTCTTTTTAAAAAATGATTTATTTATTTGAAAGGCAGAATTAGAGAGAGAGGGAGAACACAGACAGACAGACAGACACACACACACACACACACACACAGAGGACAGGCAGAGAGAGAGAGGTGTCTTCCATCCACTGTTTCATTCCCCCAAATGGCCACAATGGCCTGTTCTGTGCCAATCCAAAGCCAGGAGCCAGGAGCTTCTTCCTGATCTCCTACGCGGGTGCAGGGGCCCAAGGACTTGGGCCATTTTCCTCTGCTTTCCCAGGCCACAGCAGGGAGCTGGATCAGAAGTGAAGCAGCTGAGATCCGCTCAAACCAGCACCCATATGGGATGCTGGCACTGCAGGCAGCAGCTTTACCCGCTACGCCATAGCGCTAGGGGGAACCCCACTTCAATAAGTTTTGAAACTTAACCTCTGGCACCCCACAGCATTACAGCAGCCTCTGCCAAAGTGGACTGACGCTGACACTGGGCCCCGACCTCCCCCCTTGGGCCTGGCTGTTCCCGCTGCCCTGCCCAGGGTGGTGCCCACAGGGGAACACACTCTGCCCTCCTGGCCACAGGCCGTGCTCACAACACTGCTCTGCCTTCTAGCCCCAAAAACCCGAAACTCGAGGTCACCGGTTTTGGTGGCAGATGCGAGACTCAAAAGGCATCCAACATTTTGAGCTGCATAAAGCGTGAAGACTAAACACTGACGAAAACAGAGGGGCAGGGCCTGCTTCCCAGGTCTTGGCTGTGCCCCACCCCCAGCCTGGCTCGGCCACCTCGCTGAGGGCCCGCTCCAACCAGCAGACACCTGGGGAGCCACCCCGGGAGCTAGTGCTCCAAGGCTCACTTTGTGCCCCACGCCTCACCCTTCTGCAAGGCTCAGGGCAGCAGGCTGGCTGCCTGGGGCGGAGGGGCCGGCAGGTCAGCTGCAGTCTAGTGGGGTCCCACTGTCCCCTGTCACAGCCGGCGTGGGCATCTGAAGACCTGTTCTTGGGCCTGATGGATCCCCACGGGTGACTCCCGAGGTGAGGACCCCGGCCCTCCGCGGGCCACAGCCTGCTCCGCGGTCTGGGGCTTCAGCCCGACGGGTGCGCACCGCCCAGGTCTGGCTTCCTGGAATACAGACTGCTCGCCCAAGCACAGGTCCTGAGGCAGGGGAGCCCACCGGCCAGGGGCGCCTCCGCTGGTCTAGGGTGCAGGGAGCTGCGGCTTCGGGCAGGGCCGAGGCACCGAGCTTAGGGCTGGATCCGGGGCCCACCCCTGGGGCCGCGCCGCAGCCTCCCCCCGGCTGCCTCTGCCACACCCAGAGCCCGCTCACCACCTGCCTCCGCCCGCCCACGGGGTCAGGAGCAGCCCGAGCCCAGCCTCCCGGAAGCACGAACTCACTTCGCTCGAGTGTGGACCGCACACCTCCACTCCCAGCCCCTCCCGGGCTGAGACCATTCAGGGGGAGATTTTACGGGAAACGCTGTCGTCCTCGAAATCACCACAGCAACGACTTAACCAACAGGAAAATCATGTTTGCGGGACAGACGGTGCGGTTTCCCAGACAGGACCAGGCTGCTCACACGTACGAACCCAGAGTAAGCTCGGCTTCGCGGGACACACCCCGCACAGCTGCGAGAGCGGTGCGCGCGTGCGGGGACGGCCTCCGGGAACACAGACCCCGGCTCGGGGCAGGCGCTCGCCGCCGTCCGGCCGCGACCGCTGCACAAACACGTAGTTAAGTGCGGACAGAAGCAGGCACATCCGTGTACAAGGCGTCGCCGCGGGCGCTCCCGCACGTTCGGTCCCCGCGTCGCAGCCGCTGGCTCCGTCCTCCGCGCCGCCCGGGCTGCGGACCCCGCCGCGCACGGCCGACGTGACAACCGCACCCGGCGCGAGCCACGCAGCCACGGAGAGGCACCCCCCGCGCCGCGGGGCTCAGCACGCGCGGCCCGGCTCCCAGGGGCGCGTCGCCTCGCAGGGCGGCCGGCAGCAGTAAGGGTAGGGCGCGCTGAGGTCTGGGTCCGAGGGCGCGTACCCCGGCAGCTCCACCGATGGGTGCCCCCCGCAGCGCACCTCCGCGCCCGCATCGTCTCGCGCAGGGAAAGCGCCCACGGTGATGTAGGATACGGCGAGCGGCGCCGCGAAGCCCGCGCAGTCCCCGGGGCCGGCCAGGTCCGACTCCTCCGCCGCCAGGATGGAGGCCTCGCTCGGCCGTGGCTGCAGCCGCCGCCCCCGCCGGCCGCGCCGGCCCCGCCGCGCCCGGGAAGCCGGCGGCTGCGCGCGGAGCCTCGCCAGGGCCCGGCCCTTCCTCCGCCGGGCGCGCCGGCCGCGCCGGGCCTGCGACGCGCGATAGCTCTTGACCAGCAGGAGGCTGAGCAGGCCCAGCAGGCACTCGAGCGCGTTGAAAACGGTGGACAGCACCAGGCCGCGCTGGTAGTCCTTCAGCCGCCGGCACTCGGCGGCCGACGCGCGGTCCGGGGCGGCGCGGGCGCGCGCCGGCGCGCAGTGGTGCGAGTACTTGCGCTCCGCCAGGGCCACGGCGTCGCCGTCGATCACGGCGCCCGCGAAGGCGCTGAGGACGCCGAGCATGAAGACCAGCGCGCCCAGCAGCAGCAGGTTCCGGCGGCCCGCGGGCGCCGAGGGCGCGGGCTCCGGCGCCCCCGGCCCCGCGAGGGGCGCGTCCCGGGGCCCGTAGCAGAGCAGCGCGGCGCCGAGCAGCGAGAGGCCGGCGGCCAGCAGCAGCCCGGAGTAGAAGGCGCCGGCGGCCGCGCCCAGGCGGAACGGCTCCCCGCGCAGCTCGGCGCCCAGCGAGAGGCACTTGAGGCCGACGGCGGCGGCGCTGAGCGCGCAGGCGAGCAGGAGGCAGGCGGAGAGCGCGGCGCAGGCCCCGCGGACGCTCCACTTCATCCTCCGCGCCCGAGCCGGCCCGCGCCCCGCGCGCCCGCCGCCGCCCGCCGCCGCCCCCGCCGCCTGCGCCTCCTCCCGGCGCCGCGCGGCCGGACCGCCGGCCTCCTCCTCATCCTCCCGCGTCCCGCCGGGCCCGCGCCGCCGCCGCCGCCGCCGCCGGAGCCCGCATCCCGCGCCTCCTGCCGCCGCGACCCCGCGCCGGGAACCGCTGCGGAGCCGAGGACCGCAGGGCGCGCGCGCCCCCTCCCCAGCCCGCGGCGCCGCTCCCGGGACGCTCGGCTCCCCCCGCGGCGACCCGGCGCGCCTCGCCCTGGCGCCGCCCTCCTGCGCCCGCACCAGCGCCGCCGCCTCGCCGAGGAGGTGCCCGGGGCCGCGGGCCCAGAGCGGCGCTGGCCGCCTCGGCGTTGCCTCCGTCCCCCGCCGCGCGGCCTCTCTCGGGGACCCCCGGGCCCCACCTCTCGCCCCGCCCACCTCGGCGCCCTGCGCGTGGCCTCGCTGCCTCCCGCTGCCCGGCCGTGCCCGGCGCTCACCCGCCTGCCGGCGCAGGGAAGCCTGGGGAAGCTAGCGGGGCTGGGCGGATGTGCGGGAGAGACCGGGTGAGGAGGAGGAGGAGGGGGCCTGGGCTGGGGGGAGGGGGAGGGGGCCGGGAGAGGGAGGGGCCGAGCGCGGGTCGGGGGAGGGATGGTGCCTGGGTCTCCCGGAGGTGCGGCGTGTGCGCCAGTGCGTGTGGAGCGCGCGTGGGAGGCTGCGCGTGAGCGTGTGTGGGGTGCGCGTGCACGTGGAGTGTGGGGGTCTGTAGTGTGTACACGGAGTGTGTGGTGCACACGCGGTGCAGGGCGTACACGGGGTGTGTGGTGTACACTGGATGCGGGGTGCACACGGCTTGTGGGGCATACACTGGGTGCGGGGCGTACACGGGGTGTGGAGTGCACACGGGGTGTGCGGTGTACACAGGGTGCGGGGTACTGAGCGTATACACTGGGTTGCGGTGTGGTGAGCGTGCATGGGCGTGGCGGGTGTGTGCACGTGGGGAGTGTGGTGCATGAAGTGCGTGGGGAGTGCGCGTGGGAGCCGCGTGCGGCCATGGAGGCACCGGCTCCAGGGACCAAGCTGGAGGTGAAGACCTCGGGGAGTCTCCTAGGCGCTGCGGGGAGCAGGCGCGCGTTGTCCCCAGACGTGGGTGCGCATCGGAAGGCGGTTCCCCGCCTGCGTGGGTGCGCGGGCCGACCTGCGACCCGTGACCGTGACTGGCAGGTGGGCGACGGGCAGGCGTGCCCGCGGCCGGGGCGGGGCAGGAGGGTCTCCGAAGGCCGCTGCCTCCCGCTCGCTTACGCTGACTCACCGCCTGCGGTGGGAGGAGGGGCGGGGGTGCTTGGGGGCCACGCCCGGGCGCCCGTCCGCACCCCAGTGAGTGCCGACCTGGGCCGACCTCCCGCAGCAGGCACCTCTGTGTCCCTGAGGGGCGCGCGGGGCTTGGTGGTGTTGGGCCCCCAGGCCCGCACTCACGGGCCCGTGTGCGCGGAAGCCGCCTGACGCGGAGGCCATGTGCCTGGGGCCGATTTGGAGCGCGGTCTGCGAGCTTCTGGCAGGGAGTTGGGGATGGAAACCCCGGCCGAACGCATCCCGGAGGCGGCCGCGGTGGGGTCGGCTTGCGGGAGCATCGCGGCTCCCACGCGTGGGCCCGGTTGCCAGGAGCCGACTCCCAGCAATGATTTTGGTTTCCAAGGAGACGAGGCAAGCAGCCACCTCGGGATGCGGTGACGCCGCAGCCGCGCGGAAGTGGGGGCGCGCATGGTCCGGGCCCCCAGGCAGAGAACCGAGGCAGGAGGGGGCTCGTGCCGCGGGAGGCCCGTGGGAGGCAGGCAGAGCCTGCAGGCCACCGACTCGGCCTGCGGCCTCTCCCACTGCTTCAGGCCCTCCTCACCAGCTGCGGGGTTCCCCCGCACCCGGCTCCCTTCTCACACCACAGCTTCAGAGCTGAGCCCGCTGCACAGTTCCCATGGGCCTCTCCCTACTCCCCCCTCCAGTCTACTGGGGCAGGTGGCCCCGCGCCAGGGTTTGTCCCGCCCGCAGCCCTGGCTGAACGAACAAATGGTGGGGGGGAGTGACCCCAGGCCGGGGCAGCGGAACGCACAAGGAGGTCCCGGCCTGGGCGCAGCTGGGCGCTGCTGGGTGTGGGCCTGGGGTTCCGGGCTGATGCATGGGGACGGGGCCTGGGAGTCCAGGGACGCTCTTGGCCGCCCTCTCCCACAGCCTGGACCAGAGCCCCCGCCCCGCCTGAAGTGGGTTTCCTTGCCCTCGGCGAAGCCCACCCCCTGCACCTGCAGCCCAGCCTACTCTGAGCCTTTGGAGGCGCTGTCCCGTTGGGCGATGCGGGCTGGAGGTGCTCTCCCAGGGCCTGTGGGGCTGTTGTGCCGGCCCACTCCTCCCTCTCCTGCGGGAGCAGTTTGTGAACAATCATCTGGGCTTTTCCTAACTGCAGCAGCAATCTTGTGTGAACTAAAGAACGGTGTTCCTCTCACCTTAAGTATTTTTTTTAAGATTTTATTTATTTATTTATTTGAGAGGTAGAGTTACAGACAGTGAGAGGGAGAGAAAGGTCTTCACTCTGCTGGTTCACTCCACTGATGGCTGCGACATTGGAGCTGTGCCGATCCGAAGCCAGGAGCCAGGTGCATCTTCCAGGTCTCCCATGCGGGTGCAGGGCCCAAGCACTTGGGCCATCCTCCACTGCTTTCCCGGGCAGAGAGCTGGACTGGAAGAGAGGCAGCTGGGACGAGAACCGTGTGCATAGGGGATGCTGGCACTGCAGGCAGAGGATTAACCTACTGCACCACCGCACCAGCCCCATGTATTATTTTAATACTTGCAAATCTATGGGCATTTAAAATTTAGTGTCCTAAAGTATTGACTTCATGGCTCTAATTCTTTTTTCTAATTTCCTTTTCACTTAACTTTTAGTATTTTTATCCTTTATATTTCTTTTTGAAGGTTTGAGGGGCCAGATCTGTGGTGTAGCAGGTAAAGCCTTTGACCTCAATGCCAGCACCCCACATGGGTGCTGCTCCTCTTCCCATTCAGCTCTCTGCTGTGGCCCGGGAGTGCAGTGGAGGATGCCCAGGTCCTGGGCCCTGCACCCACGTGGGAGACCGGGAAGATGCACCTGGCTCCTGGCTTCGGATCAGCACAGCTCCGGCTGTTGCAACCAACTGGGAAGTGGACCAATGGATAGAAGACCTGTCTGTCTCTCTCATTCTCTCTCTCTCTCTCCCTCCCCCCCATCCTCTCTGCAACTCTGCCTTCCAAACAAATAAATAAATCTTTTAAAAAATATTTACTTGAGAAGCAGAGTGACAGAGAGAGGAGAGAGAGGGAAAGACGGAAAGAGAGGTCTTCCATCCACTGTTCACTCCCCAAATGGCTGCAAAGGCCAGAGCCGGCCCAGGCAGGAGCCTGGAGCTCCATCTGGGTCTCCCATGTGGGTGCAGGGGCGCAGGTACTTGGACCATTCCAGTGCTTTCCCAGGCGCATCAGCGGGGGAGCTGGGTTGGAAACAGAGCAGCTGGGACTGGAACCAGCGCCCACAGGGGATGCCGGTGAGGTCAGTGGTGTTCTAACTGCACTAGCCCTGTCCTTGCTTCTGGAACGCAATACCACAGACCGGGCAGCCGGGCTGTGAAAAGCCGGATCCCACGGTGCCAGCGTCTGCATGGCCTGGGCTGAGGGCCTCATGCCGGATCGTGGCCTGGCTGAGGGTGCCACCTGGGAGACAGAGCTGCAGAGACGCTCCCGGAATGAGCCGTCCCTGGGGCCAGCCCCCGAGCAGGAGATCCGCCGAGGTCTGGCTCCCGACCGCACATGCGACTTTGGGGATTACATCACTGACCAAACGCTGCATGTTCTCTCCCCTCGTGCACCCCTGAGGATCCTCGCTGGTGGAACCAGGGCCAGCGAGTTCCCAGAGTCGCAGGAAGACCCCTGAATTGTGAGCTTAAAAGCGTCGGTCTTCTGCAGCACAGGCCACAGAGAAAATCATGAAAGATGCATGCAGCAGCCGCTGACTTACAGATGAGCGTGTGCACACGGCCCCTCCCCCCAGGGCCCTGCTCTCCTAACTGCCACTGCCGGCCTCTGCCGGTGTGTTTGCCTAGATGTCCTTGCACACAAGACATCCCACCCGCCGGTTCCCTGCCCGAATGCTCAGAGCTGCAACTGAGTCAAGGCTTCCTGCTGGCGGGGACTCGGCCCGGCCCCCCAGTGCAGGTGGGCAGGGAGCTGCACCTGGGAGCAGAGCCGGGCGTCCTGCCTGCTGAGCTGAGCGTCAGCCAGCTCTCAGCGCTCTGTAGATGGAGCCACAGCACGGTCCCCACGTGCCGGCTGTCTTCCTTCAGCTGCCTGTGTGAGGCACAGCTCCCTGCTTCTGCAGCCACCGTGCCTTCCTCACGGTCCCACACGCGTGGCGGGACCGTCTGTGGGGAGTTGTGCTCTGCCTGCACATGCGTGTCTCTGGAGGGTTACTTGACTGTGAGCTGCTGAATCACTGGTGGTGGCTGTCCTGCTCTCCGAGCATGTGCACTGAACTCGTGAGCGTGCCACAGCAGTCACCGACTGTGTGTGCGATGAGGCACTGCCCACCCCCCCACCCTCGTACAGGACGGTGCCAGCTCGCCCAAGTGCCCTCCGCCTTCCCCGCCCCTCCCTGCCCATGGCCCTGTGTCTGGCCTCATGCTTGCGAGCTTTACCCACACTGGCCCACCATTCAGTGCACCGTTTGCTCTCATCACTGAGCAGAATTTCTCCAGTTTGTTTCCGTTCACAGGACGGTTGACTTCGGGTTGTTCCCTGTCGGGGTTGTTATGAGCAAAGCTGCACTAGCAGCCAAAGTCGGGTCTCTGTGCCGAGGGCTTACTGCTCCCTGGTGGGGAGGCAGGGTTGTGAAGTGTGGGGTGGCGGGATGTGGGGGTTATGGGTGGTGGGGTGGGGGTTGCAGGGTTGTGGGG